TATCAAACTCATCAGAGCATTACCGAATAAGCCATGGCATTACTATTTTTTATGAATGATCAGTACTTGACACTGCTGCGACTATGCACAGAGATGTCACTAGAAGAAGTATTGAAGAGCTGTGCACGAGAATCATCAGTCTTTATCTGCAGGTGGTGCTGGCTCCTGTTCTAAGGTAAGAGTCATCACTGTCACCAATGATTTGAGGGGATATTCTTCCCTGTGGGTTGCTATTCCACTGACACCAATGATTTGGGGGGGTTGGGGTACAGTCTCCTTTGGAGCCCACTATTAGACTGACAACACTAATTTGGGTGACCATTCTACCACCAATTATGTCTATTTAAAATTACAGTTACCCAGTACTCCCTGTTTAACACATTTTAAATACACATTTTGCTTTCCCACACTTTATTGTGCAAGTATAATTTTGTATTTATTTTTTTTTGGGCCATGAAAGAATTTACCAGACCCCTGCCTCACAAAAAGGTTGGCAGAGATGCACATTTAATAACAGGCTTTGCCAAGTTAATAGTAAAACTGCACTTTCGATAAAAATTATTTATTTGTATGTCCCTGCAGCATGTCAAAATGCTGGTATATGATGAGTAACCTTTATCCAAGACATATCCTGTATTCAGTAACATGCCCTGACCCCATGTTTGCATCCATCTTTTTCAATCCTTGCCACCACTAGAGAGTACTATTTGGATACAGAAGACCAGCTTTGCAATGGCTTGAATCAGCAACTTGTCTTTTCGGGGAACAGTTCAGGGGAGTACAGCAGGCAATATTGCTAGAAGCAGCACTTAAAAAAAAAAAAAAAAAAAAAAAAAAGACACCCAGTGCTAGAAATATACTTTTATTATATTTATGTGAAAACCACAGATGCGGCGTGAAAAAGCCATCCAACAACTGAATATTACAATTGCTTACCCTAATAATTGCAAAATTTATACAAAAATAGCTAAAAAAAAATCTCAGCTTCAGCACGTTTTTTTTTTCCTGTCATTAGTGTTCTAAGGCAGCAACAAGCTGTATGTAAACATTAAGTATGGCTGCTTTTTAGGTTTGTAATACTACACAAAAGCATAAAATGCATTTTGCAGTGGTAATCTATAGTTTTCTTCCATGTGGCAATCTTGATTAAAGAACTAACTGCTCAAATGAACCTCATTACACTTAAATTTTTATTATCTTGGCATCCTATTAGGACTGAATACAGGTTTTAAATTTGACTGAAACATTTCATATATTTGTAGACACACATCTGCACATAAAAGGAATCTTCAAAGCTGCATCATGTAATGGATAGCCGTGATAAGAAGCTGCGTCTTTCACTGATCATTTTACTTTGTCTGATGGTAAGCAAGGACAAGTTGGAATTATTTGTTCATGAAGTGTGGGCTAAAGCCCCAGCACCCTGGCCGAAACCAAAGCCTTTTGGACCAAAGTTCTTTGCGTAGCATGCTGGGGCATGAAAAAAAAAAAAATAAGGAATTAAGAATCACTCTTTTTACATGCGTAAAAAAAAAAAAAAAACAACACACACGTTTAAAGTTTAGAAAGTCTTATTATTTCTCTTAACACCACTTTCACATTCACTATGAATCTTTTGCTGAACAAGTGTGTAAGGTAGTAACCTAATCTAGTAAGAGGGTGAGAATAAGAAAAAAAAATGTAGCTAAAATTAGCAAATTTTGTGGTTTGCTGCTTAACGCTGATTAACACTGATCATGTGAGCAGCATGAGGGCTGATCAAAGGAGATCTCAAATTAGAGCAATTTGGGCAAATTTTCTAACTTTTAAACCAGCTGCAGTGTTTGCTGAATAGTATTGATTTATATCTCAGTTCTTACTGGGGTGTTTGACCTGTCAATCTGTTAGAAGATATTGTTTATTTAGCTAGTGTCTATACAAAACTACCATGTGAGCCTCACATATGTGCGGTACATCGCATTTGATTTGCACAGGAACCACATCACATTCCTGTGCAAATCACATGCGATTTGTGTGCGGTGCGATTGGAAGAAGTGGAAGGAATATACAGTATTTGGAGTGGATTGCATGAATACTATCATCACTTGGGGACATTGTCTATATCTGCAAATTTGGACATTTGGGTTAGACTTTATGATTCAATGAGTGATCACGTGTGAAGTGCACTGAAAATCACTAAGTAGATTATTACTATAACATTTGGGTATTTTTTTTTTTTTTGGTATCACGTTGTCAATCACCAAGTGGAATATCATAAAACATATCATATAACAGAGGGCTTCATCATGTTTGCAGGGTGTGGAACAGTTAGTGGCATATTAAGATACCATTTTGGAAAAGGTTTCTCTGAACACAGGTTTTTATTATGGTGGGGGGTTTTTTTCACAACACATTTTTTATATGGTTATATTGTTTGTACATTTACACAAAGAGCATGATTGTAGTCTGTACAATTTATTTTACACATTTTTTTAGCTTTTTGATTGTTTGGGGAAAAGGGTTACGCCAGTCATTTTAGTATTTACACTTCCGAATTAGTGATTAAACAGGGGTGAAAGCAGCTTTTCCATTTTATAGTGACATAAGGTTTTTAGTTAGCGTGGGACCAGATCGCTCTGTATAATTAGCAGTATTAAAAATTAGTTTGTTCAAGAAAAATTTTCCATCCTGCTCCTTCAAATGTTCTCACCACTACGGTCAAAACTATATGTCGACTTTACTGCATTAGAAAGTCAAACGTTCTTACAAAAAAAAAAAAAAAAAAGAAGAAGAAGGGGAAGAAATTCTAATAGTAGTTGTCCATTGGAAATCCAATCAAGTAAAGACTATTAGATCCTGTCAATGCTTCTTAACCCATCGTGTGCACCCCAAAAATATATATAAATTATTACCTATCAAAAAGAGAAAAAAAAAATGCTGTCAAATTATCTAGCAGGAAAAAAAAAAAAATCAAGCAAGTTTTTAGACTCACCACTCTGGGGTGATGCTGTTGGTTTCTTGATGACATCAGTTATACCTCACACACAACTCTCTACTCGCAATATGCACAAATAGAAGATCCAACTTGTAGAGAGTACTACCAAGACTGTAAAGTTTTATTAGCCTGTTAGGGTCACTAACTTTTTTTTTTTTTTAATTCCAGGTTAATTGCGGCTTGTTACGCATCTGAACATGTTTCGCTCTGTTTGACTATTCAGAGATAATGCAGTGTAAAATGCAAAGTATGAGCAGTCTGTGCATGGGTCTTTCATATTTATTTGTATTGTGATATCAAATCATGCGGTTTTAGAATTGATGGTAAATTATATGTAAGAATATGTTTTGTGCTATTTGAATATTTTTGATTTTCGAACAGTGATAGTTTACTAGGCATCTGTTATCATGTTGTCTTCTTGGGCCTCATACACACTGGATGTTTTTGGAGCTGCTCCTAGGGGTGTCAGGCTAACATGCAAGGGAGTTTAGAGGCAGGAAAAAACCCACTTCTGGTGTGTCCAGAAGCAGTTTGGGCAGAAAAATGCTTTCTGCAAAAATGTTGCGGTCTTCTAGGAGAGTTTTTTTATTTTTATTTTTTTAAAGTCCAGTGTGCATGAGGCCTTAGCCTGAAATATTAGCTTTCTCACACGCTCTCTATTTTTTCCTCTCTCTCCAGGGCAAAAGGGAAGGTTAGTAACAAATATAAAAACAAACAATGTGTATTCAATACATTGTTAAAGTGTTACTAAACCCACAAAACAGTCAAATCAATCTATATATGCAGTAAAGCATGCTTGATATAATCACTATGGAACCTAAGGGGTTAAGCCTCTGCACTGTGTAAAAATGCTGTTTGATCCTGACTTCTCTGATCCTCCCCTTCTTCCAGTGTCCCCCCCACCCCCCCCCCCCCCCCCCCCCCCCCCCCCCCTTATCTCCTGATAAGACATATCGTGTGGAGTCATTCTGTACATACTCAGTTTGGTGTGTATTGTTAGGAGAATTTTTTTCTTTGGCACTGTGCTGATCACATGCACTGTCCCATCAGCACTGTGCTGATCACATGCACTGTCCCATCAGCACTGTCCAGACAGAGGTCAGGGGTTCAGCATCCTCCTAGAGCAAAATGAAAACTCCTCCTACAAGCTTTAACCAGTGCTAGGCTGGACACTTACAGAAGTCACAAGACTGGTTTAACTGCTGATGAGAAAAAAGGTATTTAGCAGTTTATATTTACTAAAATAATTGCACTTCTGTGTTCTGTGGGAGACCAGATATAGTGAATACAGGGCCATGGGTTTAGTAACACTAACAGTGGAAATAAAAGATATAAGTATATACCTTTGCAGAATATCTCTCCATCCTTATCTGCCAGCGTAGTGGATTCCAATCCTTTCCCACATTTGGCACAACGAAAGCAGGCCTTGTGCCAAGACTAAAAAACACATGGAGAATGTAATCATCACTACTGTACATACACATAAATGAACTTTGAATAATTATTTACATTAAGTATTATTTGGATTTGTTGCATGTGCCAAAACTGCCTCTGAAAGTGTTGTGACCTATTTATAACAGTTTTCTAATGTTAGTGGTGTCCTGAAAAAATATCTTCCAGTCTGTGCCCCATTCAGTGACAAAAATGACAGGCTTATGGTACATCTAGTGAATGTCATTAAACTTCATTTTGAAAAACTATTTTATCCAAACTAAGGGAAAATTCCCTTGCAACATGAACAGCCTGTTTGCCTTTGATAAATGAACCACTGGTTTCTTTTCCTTATTTGGATTAGTATTGGATTATTTTTATTCAGTGTGGATGTTGCATCAACATTTCTAAGACGTTTATTACCCTTTAGAGTGTGCTGAATGATTTATTTTATATAGAATCGGGTGCATTTTTGATACAAGCTCATGTACAGTACATGTCACATGCATTGTCATTTTTTGCACAGGGACAAGACATGCTTCTAGTGCCTGTGCCACTCATGAATTCCAAGGCATACTTACATTTCCTCCACCGATCACCTTTTCAGCAGCATATACAGCTTTTGAGCAGCGAGGACACAAATCAGCACCTCCCACTTTCTGCGCAAACTTGGAAGCATTTGGGTTGTTTGTAGGCTGATGCGTCCCAGGCCTGTGTTGATGAGTGTAAGCAAGTCACATATAGTTACCAATAAAATGCACATTGTAAGCAAGTCACATGTAGTTACAAATAAAATGCACAATGTATCTCTTACAGGTCTAAATCACCATGTTACTATGTTTAAACTTTTGTATATATAGCCTGTATGGCAGGGTGTGTGTGTGTAATATACACACACGTTAGAAAACTTTTACTTTCCTTTCAGAATGAACATTTTTCTATGGCACACTATATCACAAAATACTCCCACAAATGTGGGCCACTGATTGAAAACAAGATTTGTTACTTTGCACACACACACAAAAAAAAAAAACACATTTTTCCTTATTCATTCAAGAATTCAGGTGAGTCTATTTATTAGTCAGGGGTTCAGCAGGCAGTTGATTATAAAAAGGGCATTACTTAAAGAAAATCCCTTCCTATTTCAAGCTGTGAGTAATGGAACCACATGGAAGAGAAATGTCATAAGGGCTGAGAAAGAAAATCATTTCTTTACACAAGAAAGGTGAAGGCTACAAGATCAACAAAGCTTTACTTTGTTAAATGTTTGTATCACTAAGATGGAACTGCAACTTAGTTAATTGTTCACTGCAGTTAGCTAAATAAGCTGCAAACAAAACTGAGGTGATTGTTTCCCATGACACAAATACGGCGTACACTGCAGAGGAAGGGCATGCATGAGTGTCATCCATGAAGGAAGCCTCTCCTAAAGCCCATGCACAAAAAAGGTCCACCTAGAATCTGCAGAGGAAGGGCATGCATGAGTGTCATCCACAAAGGAAGCCTCTCCTAAAGCCCATGCATAAAAAAAAAGGTCCACCTAGAATCTGCCAGGTTCCATGCTGAAAAATAATAAGACTACTAGAGATAAAGAAACGTTTTTGGAGCTGATGGCTTCAAAACTGTATGGCATCACAAAGGTGAGGAGAACAAAGAAAAATGCATGGTGCCTACAGTGAAACATGGTGGTGGCAGTGTCTCTGTGGAGCTGCATGAGTGCTGCTGGTGTCAGGGAGCTGCATTTCATGGACGGTATCGTGAATTCACAGATGTACTGCTCTATATTGGAAGAGAAGATGCTACCATCACTCCTTGCCCTTTGTCATGTTAGATGTGTGTTTTGGATCATGGTCATCATGCACTTTTCCTAACAGGCCACTGTTGCATTCCTGAAGAACAGGGTGAAAGGGATTCAGTGGCCAAAGTAGGTCTCCTGATCTGTACCCAATCGAACACCTATGAGGAATTTTGAAGAGACAAGTTGAGCATAACTTGGTAAAGTTGATCCAGGGAATATCCAATTATATGAAGAATGGAAAAAGATAGATGTTGCAATGTGTCTCCAACTTGTTCATTCCATGCCTAAAAGACTTGGTGCTGTCCTTACAAATCATGGGAGGTCATACAAAATACTAGATGTAGTGTTTGTTGTGGGGTGTATTCAATTTTACATCAATTAGAGTAAAATTGAAGATTCTGTAATCTAAGTTGTATTATTAACCTTATTTTCATGTAATGAGCTAAACTGTTCTATAAAAAAAAAAAAAAAACCACACAACTCCGTTTTGTCAAAATTTTTGAATTTCTCTTTTGTTCATTGAGATATTGATTAAAATCTTAACTTTTCAAAAGGGGTGTAATCATTTATGCTGAGCACTATGTATATTATATATCTCCCAATCATTTTTTTAAGCAGCAGGCCAATGTATTTTAAAAAGGCTCCATACTACAAATTAGATGAATGATAAAGAGATATGGAAAATTGAATAGAGGGAAGTGGGAAGTAATTACTTCCCCATTGCAGTCATTCAAAATTTTCTATAAGAGGAAGCTAAACCTGGACTTCCCAGCATTTTTATTGAAGCCCTTTGGGTTCCATTCTGTATAGTTCAGAATGTTTATGGTATAATGATATGCTTATGGTAGTACTGTAGGCACTAGTTCAGTGAACATATGAGCTGCCATCTGATTGAGGAATTGTCCCTCATTTGGAACAAAGTCCCTCTGTTCCTCCTTCCCCATCAGTTGTCCTTCATTTTGGTCTGATCTATATATTTGTATATAAAGTGCACTATTTATATAGCGCCAACAGTTTGCTCAGCGCTTTACTATATTTAAAAGGGAGTCAATACAGCCACGATACAAGATGTTTAAGAGGGCCCTGCTCCTTGTAGCTTACAATCTGAGGGGGAGGGGCTGGTGGTACAAAAAGGTAATAACTAAGGGATGAACGGATAGGATGAATAGAAAATTCAGTTATTGTCTGAAGGCAGGATAGCCTTCCCTGAAGAGGATTTCAGAGATCGCCTAAAAGTGGGCAGAGTAGGTGATAGTCAGATAGACTGGGGTAGAGTTCCACAGGATGGAGGAGGCTCTGGAGAAGTCCTGGAGATAAGCATGAGAGGAGGAGACAAGGGAGCTAGAGAGCAGGAGGTCATCAGAGGAGTGGAGAGGACAGTTTGGGTGATATTTGGAGGCCATATTGGTGATGTACTTTGGGGCAGAGTTACAAAATGGCTTTGTCAGGAATGGACTGGCCAGCAATGGTGGGACTCACCTGCCTTATGGGCTGCAGTACCAGGGCTGGCCAGCGGGTGCTCCCAGCAATCAGAGACTCAACCTTGCAGCCAGCCAAACACCTGAAACTGCTTATACTGATGTATTTAAGGGATGGCCAGACCTGCAGACTCTGCCTTGGTGTGTGTTTCTCCTGGGCCCTGTATCCTGTTCCTGCTCCCTGTTCCTGTTCCTGTCTGATTCGTTGCTGACCCTGCTCTGATCCCTGGCTTTGTCTGACCATTCTCCTGCTCCTGATCCCTGGCTTTGTCTGACCATTCTCCTGCTCCTGATCCCTGGCTTTGTCTGACCATTCTCCTGCTCCTGATCCCTGGCTTTGTCTGACCATTCTCCTGCTTAACCCCATACGTTCTGACCTCCTGTTGATAATCCCGGCCTGCCTGACGATGCTTGCATTGTATGTACTGTTATCTGTGGGTGGTTTGGTTAGGTTCGTTTGCACTGTGTTATGTTTTAGTATTGCACTGCATTTATGTATTGTTAATAAATTATATTTATAACATATCTGAAGCCTGCGTTTCCCTGCGTCAGTCACATACCTCTGGTCACACCCTGGAGCCCTGACAGGCTTTATATGTTATTGTTAATGTTTTAAATTTAATTGTTTGCCAATCCCTCCACTGGTTTCCCATTGCACGAGAGGGAAGGCAGATATGGAATGGTTAGTAAGGTGGATGAGTCTGGCAACAGCATTCATGACAGACTGAAGAGGGGATAGCCTGCGAATAGGTAGGCCAATGAGGAGGGAGTTACAATAATCAAGGCAAGAGATAACAAGGGAGTGAATAAGTTACTTAGTGGTTTCAGAGGTTAAGAACGGGTGCATCTTGGGAAATGTTGCGGAGGTGAAGTCTACAAGATTTTGACAGCGATTGCATTTGGGGCTGAAAGGACAGATGGAAGTCTAGGACTACAGCTAGTACCCTGGCATGAGGGAGGGACTGATGGTTGTATTATTGATCTTGATGAAGAAGTCAGGGGAGGGGGGCATGGGCTGGAGGGAATAGTATGAGCTTTATTTTGGAAAGATTTACTTTGAGGAAGTGGAGGGACATCCATGCCGATATGTCACTTAGTAGGTTAGTAATGCGAGAAGAGGCTGATGGAGCCAGGTGAGGAGTAGAAAGATAGATTTGTGTGTCATCAGTATAGAGATGGTACTTAAAGCCATGGGAGTATATCAAGTGACCAAGGGAGGAGGTGTAGATGGAGAAGAGAAGGAGTCCAAGGACAGAACCTTGAGGGACCCCTACAGGTAGAGGAAGCAGAGAGGAGGAGACAGAGTTATAGGCAATGCTGAAGGAGTGCTACAATAGGTAGGAGAACCAGGAGAGAGCAGAGTCTGGGAGGCCAAAAGAGTGAAGTTTTTTTTGAGGAGGAGGGGATGGTCAACAGTATCAAAAGCCACAGAGAGGTCAAGTAGTAACAGTATGGAGTAGTGACCATTAGTTTTAGCAGTTAGTAAATCATTAGTGAGTTTTAGTACGGCAGTTCCAGTGGAGTGGAGTGAGAAAAAGCCAGACTGTAAGGGGTCAAGAAGGTTGTTGTTAGAATGCTTAGTCTATAATAGCCTGAGCTCCCACCTCACTAAGAGTTTAGAGGTAAATGGGAGCAGGGAGATAGGTCTTAAGTTGTTTAGGTTGGTGGGGTCCAGTGAGGGTTTTTTTAAGTATGGGAGTGATCTGGGCATACTTCAGAGCGGGTGGGGAAGGCACCATTGGAGAGGGAGAGATCACATCTTAAGATGTGAATGAGGTAGCATAGGACAGAAAAGGGAGACCTTAGTAGTTGAGAGGGGACAGGATCCAGAGGGCAGGTGGTGAAGCAGGCTTCTGAGAAAACTTTAGTGACCTCTTCAGTAGTAGCAAGGTCAAAAGATGCGAATGTTGAGGGAGGTTTAATACAAGGTATGCGAAGTGGGATAGATATCTGTGTAGCGGAGATGCCCCTACGAATTGCATCAATCTTGTTTTTGAAATGATTTGCAATCTCGTAAGCAGTGAGTGAGTTACTGGGTGAAGGTGGAGAAAGTAGAGAGTTAAAAAGTAGAGACGATGAGGACTGGATGACAAGATTATTAATAAGAGTGACAAAGTTGGCTTGTTTGGCAGCATAGAGGAAAGAATTGTATGTTAAGAAAGCAGATTTATAGAGTGTGAATGCTTGCTGGAATTTGGTATTATGCCACAAATCGCTCCAGAGCACAACTATGTCTCTTAAGATTTCTGGTATCATCAGTCTGCCATGGTTGTAATAGTTGTGGCTTCAGTTTCATCCACACTAGACTCATTTGCTCCTCTAACTACATGAGCTGTTGAAGACAGCAGTGGCCAGGTCAGGGCAGGACAGGGGAGAGATTCTGTCATAGAGGTGGTCAGTTGCAGAGTGGAAAAGAGAAGGGTTTAAGTTGTGAAGGTTTCTGGGGGTAATGGTTTGCTGCTTGGAGGGAAAAAAGTGTTTGAAGATGAGGAGACTGCAAAGGTGATGAGATTGTGATCAGAGAGAGGAAAGGAGGTGTTTGCGAGGTAGTACGGAGTGTAAAGATGGGAGAAAACAAGGTCTAATGTATTCCCATCAGATTGAGTGGAGGACTGTATCCATTGTGTTAGGGCAGTGATGGCGAACCTTTTTGAGCCCGAGTGCCCAAACTGCAACCCAAAACCAACTTATTTCTTTCAAAGTGCCAACACTGCAATGAAACCTGAATATCGAGCTTTTGGTTTAGAAAAAAACAACTCGTACAGTAGTGCAAACTAATTAACAGTACAGGGATGACCAGAGACTGCGGACACAGTACAGGGATGACCAGAGACTGGGGACACAGCACAGGAGATGACCAGAGACTGGGGACACAGCACAGGAGATGACCAGAGACTGGGGACACAGCACAGGAGATGACCAGAGACTGGGGACACAGCACAGGAGATGACCAGAGACTGGGGACACAGCACAGGAGATGACCAGAGACTGGGGACACAGCACAGGAGATGACCAGAGACTGGGGACACAGCACAGGAGATGACCAGAGACTGGGGACACAGCACAGGAGATGACCAGAGACTGGGGACACAGCACAGGAGATGACCAGAGACTGGGGGACACAGCACAGGAGATGACCAGAGACTGGGGACACAGCACAGGAGATGACCAGAGACTGGGGACACAGCACAGGAGATGACCAGAGACTGGGGACACAGCACAGGAGATGACCAGAGACTGGGGACACAGCACAGGAGATGACCAGAGACTGGGGACACAGCACAGGAGATGACCAGAGACTGGGGACACAGCACAGGAGATGACCAGAGACTGGGGACACAGCACAGGAGATGACCAGAGACTGGGGACACAGCACAGGAGATGACCAGAGACTGGGGACACAGCACAGGAGATGACCAGAGACTGGGGACACAGCACAGGAGATGACCAGAGACTGGGGACACAGCACAGGAGATGACCAGAGACTGGGGACACAGCACAGGAGATGACCAGAGACTGGGGACACAGCACAGGAGATGACCAGAGACTGGGGACACAGCACAGGAGATGACCAGAGACTGGGGACACAGCACAGGAGATGACCAGAGACTGGGGACACAGCACAGGAGATGACCAGAGACTGGGGACACAGCACAGGAGATGACCAGAGACTGGGGACACAGCACAGGAGATGACCAGAGACTGGGGACACAGCACAGGAGATGACCAGAGACTGGGGACACAGCACAGGAGATGACCAGAGACTGGGGACACAGCACAGGAGATGACCAGAGACTGGGGACACAGCACAGGAGATGACCAGAGACTGGGGACACAGCACAGGGATGACCAGAGACTGGGGACACAGCACAGGGATGACCAGAGACTGGGGACACAGCACAGGGATGACTGCTGACCTTTGGGGAGGGAGGGGGAGCGGGTACCTGAATTTGACAGGTACCCGCTCTTACTTCCGCAGAGTTTTTTTTTTTTATCTTACCTGTTCCTCGATCCAACCGCGCGCTGTCTTCCCGGCTTCTGTAGTGTGGGCGCTCGTCGGACAGCCGGATGCCCAGTGCGCATGCGCGAGAAGCGCTGCGCTTTGTGATTGGTCCGGCGGCTTCTGGGATCTGTCATGTGTCCCAGGTACCGCCTTACCATTCACAAGGAGCACTGCTTCTTGTGCATGCGCACTTGGGACCCGGCTGTCACGCACACTACAGCCGGGAAGACAGCGCGCCGCTGGATTCTCCTGGCGTGCCCACAGATAAGGCTCGGCGTGCCGGCTGTGGCACGCGTGCCACGGGTTCGCCACCACTGTGTTAGGGTAAAACCTTTCATTCAATTTCTAAAATTGCTGCATTTGTAAATTTTAAGAAAGTCAAATTTAAAAAGAATAATAAAATAGTGGTAAAAAAAAAAAAAGCACTTGAGGGTTTAACCAATACTTTTTTTGTACAATTCTCCTTTAATGGCATAGAAGGGGGTGTGTACTATGCCTACATACTTTGCTAACAAGTGTCCATTTCCTTCTCAGAAAGTTGGGAGTTATGAATGCATCATAAAGATGTTTTGTTCTAATATCTGCTATATGATGACAGTTCTTCATTTTCACTTATAAGCGCATAGCTTGCATAAAGATGTGCCTGTCAGACTCCATATTCTGTGGACAATACAGGCAATCATTCTGTATATCATATTTTTCTATCTGGAAACAGCCAATCTTATTGATATTCCCTGGCATGGAGCAGTTTATATGCATCACTTGATGCAGTGAGCACAAGGTGATTTGTGGTATAAAGCACTTGCATGTTCACAATGGGTTGCAAAACTTAAGGTAAGGAGGTATTAAATCCAAAAGTAAACATTTATTATATTGCAGCTAGAGATGAGCGAAGTATTCAAAAATTCGATTCGACTGATTCGGCGAATTCGTGAAAAAAAAATTTGATTTGAGTCGAATATATTCGCTGCGAATTTAACTTATAAAAGGGTGTTTCTAGGCTTCAGAGAGCCTTTATATTATTGCAGAACACTGTACCTTTAATTTAAATGCCCTTGGAGTCTGCTGGGGAAGAGAAATAATACTGACAGTCAGTATGACATGCAGATGAGTGCCGTCGATCTTAGAATCACCGCACACTTCACTCATTTGGGCAGTCACGGGGCCAAAACCAGAGTGTGGAGCCAGTGTGGCGGTGGAGGCAGCAGCAATGGGAGGCCATACAGCACCCTATGACAAAAATGGAAACCACCAGCAGTGTGAGGAGACCTGAAAGTGGCACATGGCAGAGTGTGGCGATGGAGACAGCAGCAATGGGAGGCCGTACAGGGACCCATGACACACTCTGGACCTGGCAGCAGCATGAGGAGGCGGTACAGGGGCCCATGACAGATTACGGGCCTGGCAGCAGCATGAGGAGTTGGTATGGGGGCCCATGGCAGATTACGGGCCTGGCAGCAGCAATGGGAGGCCGTACAGGGACCCATGACACACTCTGGACCTGGCAGCAGCATGAGGAGGCGGTACAGGGGCCCATGACAGATTACGGGCCTGGCAGCAGCATGAGGAGTCAGTACGGGGGCCCATGACACACTCTGGACCTGGCAGCAGCATGAGGAGGCGGTACAGGGGCGCATGACAGATTACGAGCCTGGCAGCAGGAACTTGGACAGGAGGACGTTCAGCTTCTGCACCGTCGGGTGCGTGCTCGCAAACTGTTGTCTCTTGGAAACGGATTCCAAGAAAGACTGCTGACGGAATCCGTGTAGAGGAGTAGCAGGAGAAGGAGCATCTGAACGAGCGGAATATGCCAACAAGCGACAACAGGGGCCCATGACAGATTACGGGCCTGGCAGCAGCATGAGGAGTCGGTACGGGGGCCCATGGCAGATTAGGGGCCTGGCAGCAGCTATGAAGAGGCGGTACGGGGGCCCATGGCAGATTACGGGCCTGGCAGACAGCAATGGGAGGCCCGTAATCTGCCAGCACCTATGACAAAAAATGGAACACAACAGCAGTGTGGTGAGGAGACTGAAAGTGGCACATGGACCCATGAGACACTGTGGACCTGGCAGCAGCATGAGGAGTCGGTACGGGGGCCCATGGCAGATTAGGGGCCTGGCAGCAGCTATGGGAGGCCCGTAATCTGCCAGCACCCTATGACAAAAAATGGAACACACCAGCAGTGTGAGGAGACCTGAAAGTGGCACATGGCAGAGTGTGGCGATGGAGACAGCAGCAATGGGAGGCCGTACAGGGACCCATGAGAGACTGTGGACCTGGCAGCAGCATGAGGAGGCGGTACTGGGGCCCATGGCAGATTACGGGCCTGGCAGCAGCTATGGGAGGCCCGTAATCTGCCAGCACCCTATGACAAAATGGAACCCTGGGCTGGGGCAGGCAGAACCGCCGTATCTTTATCACGGTTTTCCCAGGCCACCAAATGGCGACGCTGCATATGCTGATGCAACGCTGTAGTCCCAACATGGGCCCCCTGGCCACGCTTGACTTTCTGGCCACATAGTCGACATACAGCTACGTTTACTTCCTCGGGCGGCTTGACGAAAAATTGCCACACCGCCGAGTAGGAAACTTTGCCCCCGCTACTCCTCACTGGCTGACTGCTACTTCCTCCGTGCACACCGGCACCACTACTGGCCGTGGTGGTAGGCTGCAGTGGAGCTGGTGCTCTACTCCGTGGCCGTTTGCCTCCACTGACACTGCTGCGACCCTGCTGCCTCTTGGCAGCAGCAATGGGAGGCCGTACAGGGACCCATGACACACTCTGGACCTGGCAGCAGCATGAAGAGGCGGTACGGGGGCCCATGGCAGATTACGGGCCTGGCAGCAGCAATGGAGGCCCGTAATCTGCCAGCACCCCTATGACAAAAAATGGAACACAACAGCAGTGTGAGGAGACCTGAAAGTGGCACATGGCATGAGACACTGTGGACCTGGCAGCAGCATGAGGAGGGGTACAGGGGCCCATGGCAGATTAGGGGCCTGGCAGCAGCTATGGGAGGCCCGTAATCTGCCAGCACCCTATGACAAAAAATGGAACACACCAGCAGTGTGTGAGAGACCTGAAAGTGTCACATGGCAGAGTGTGGCGATGGAGACAGCAGCAATGGGAGGCCGTACAGGGACCCATGACACACTCTGGACCTGGCAGCAGCATGAGGAGGCGGGTACAGGGGCCCATGGCAGATTACGGGCCTGGCAGCAGCAATGGGAGGCCCGTAATCTGCCAGCACCCTATGACAAAAAATGGAACACACCAGCAGTGTGAGGAGACCTGAAAGTGGCACATGTTTTGGGGCATGATTCATGGCGGATTTAGTCAGTTGTGTCAGGAACTGGTGGTTTGAAATCCAGACTAATCCACGCCTGATTCATTTTCACAAACGTGAGTCTCTCCACACTTTGGGTGGACAGTCGTGTCCTCCGCGGAGTTACAATACCTCCTGCCGCACTAAAAACACGCGCTCCGATGCCACGCTACTGGCCGGGCATGACAGCCTTTCAAGGGCAAGTTCAGCTTAGTTGGGGCCAAAGGTCAAGTTTCGTTGCCCAGTAGTCAAGGGGATTGTCTACTCGGTTGGCAGGGTGCTGTCCAAGTAGGCCCAAGGCTGTTGTTTGAGGTCCTGCTCCAGGTCCACCTGATGCTGCTGCTGCTGCGGCTGGTTAGTAGTTTCCTCACTGCCTGGTGAGAAAGCTACTCATCATCGACTGCAGACTGAGGCAGCTGCTGCTGGTGGAGCTGCCACTGCTCCTACCACCCACCACCCCTCCCCTGCTGCCATGGCAGCGGAACGCGAGCGCACAGGGCCCACAGTGTCTGAGGATGGACGTTGGCGCACAAAGGCAGAGTCCAGCTGACTACATAGGTGGTTTTTATAGTACGTTATTTTGGCCTCCCTCTCAGCAGGTGTGAAAAAGGCCACCATTTTTGAACGGGGGTAGCGAGGGTCCAACAAGGTGGACAGCCAAAAGTCATCCCCTCTGTCTTATGGTTATTATGCGGCTGTCGCTACGCAAGCAAACGCCGAGCATGCTATGGGCCATTTGTGCCAAGGAATGCGAGGGACTCCCTGCCTCCATCTCCACAGCATACTGCCACGGTGCGTCTGGGTCCTCTGTCTCCTCCTCTCTACCAAGATGCTCCTTGCTCCTCCACTCATGTCCGCTGAGTGGAAAAAACCACCATTTTCACTCAATTCCTGAGCACCAATGTCCTCCTCTTACCTCCTCCTTTCTTCCTGTCCTGCCCCACAGGGGTCATGTGGCGTTGAGATCTGTGCGCCACGTTCTACCGCACCCTGACCAGCCATTGTTAACAGCATTTGTTCCAGGGACGTGCAACAGAGGAATGACGTCGTTCATCCCATAGTCCTGCCGACTCACGAATAGCGTGGCCTCCTCAAAGGGCCTGAGCAAGCGCAGGTGTCACGCACTTGAGCTGCCAATTGGCTGACATCTAAGTTACACAGGGAGTACCTTTATCCGCTTTTAACATCAGGAAAATCTGTGATGGCCTTTCGCTGTTCGTTAAAGGCGGTTCTAACATATGTAGGGTTGAATTCCACCTTTGTTGCAACGTCGCAGATCAGGCGATGCTGTGGAATTCCGTTCTGCCGCTGCAGCTCAAGGTGGGTGTGGTTTGCGGTGTAGGAATGGCTGAAATGCATGCCAAATGAAGTTTACGTGACATTTTAAGGATGTTCTTGCAGTGGTGGGATGGTGGATTTTAGGAACCGCTTGACAACCAGATTGAACACGTGAGCCATGCATGGCGCATGGCACAACCTTCCTTGACGCAGAGCAGACACCATGTTCTTTCACCCCCGTTGTCGGTCAACATGGTTCCGATTTAAGTTTGGCGCGGAGACAGCCATCTGTCGATTTCTATGTTCATTACACTGAGAAGTTCCTCCCTGTGTGACTACGTTCGCCAAGGCATACCAGGTGCAGCACAGCGTGACACCGTTGCGCCCTGCACATGTGATATGCCGGTCGGGGTAATGGGACTTGGCAACGGGGGTGGGCGGCTGAGGACACGGCGGAAGAGGTGGTAGAGGCGGACATCTTTGCCTGGACCAAGGGATCGTGCAAACGTGGAGGCAAAAAGCGGCAGTGACCTGTCCAAGTTGCTGGTGCGGCTGTGACGGCACCACGTTCACCCAGTGGGCCGTAAATGACATGTACTGTCCCTGACCGTAGTTACAGCTCCATACGTCGGCGCTTGCCGTGCACTTTGGCAGAGGGACCGACATGCTCAAAGACTGGCCCACCATCTCTTCTACATGTGAATGCCCAGGGCTGGCACTGCCTTTTTGGCGAAGAAATGACGGCTTGGCACTCTGAGAAGACTTCCACCGCGGCGCGGCACAAGCCATCATTTCTCGGAAAGGTGCTGAGTCCACCACTTGGAAAAGGGAGGGACTGCAGCACCAGCAACTTGGACAGGAGGACGTTCAGCTTTTGCACCGTCGGGTGCGTGGCTCGCAAACTGTTGTCTCTTGGAAAACGGATTCCAAGAAAGGGACTGCTGACGGACCTACCCTATCGTTGAAGAGGAGTAGCAGGAGAAGGAGCATCAGAACGAGCGGAAGATGCCAACGAGCGACAACTCCCCTCAGCAGAGGTGTTGGAAGCCTTGACTGGCTGATAGAGGGCGATTGACGTCGGGTGACGGAGCAAGTAACGGAGCGGGTGATGGAGCGGGGGCTGGGGCGGGGCAGAGAAACCGCCGTTTCTTTATCACGGTTTTCCCAGGCCACCAAATGGCGACGCTGCATATGCTGCCGCAACGCTGTAGTCCCAACTTGGGCCCCTGGCCACGCTTGACTTTCTGGCCACATAGTCGGACATATACGGCTACGTTTACTTCCTCGGAGGCTTGACAAAAAATTGCCACACCGCCGAGTAGGAAAACTTTGCCCCCGATACTCCTCTCTGGCTGACTGCTGCTTCCTCCGTGCACACCGGCACCACTACTGGCCGTTGGTGGTAGGCTGCAGTGGAGCTGGTGCTGTACTCCGTGGCCGTTTGCCTCCACTGACACTGCTGCGACCCTGCTGCCTCCTGGGCAAACCCACCGATCCTGTTTTTGCTCGCTGCCAAGCTGCCACCCCTCTTCACCTGATGATGCGGAAAGCAATAGACTGATGACGACGAGGCTGCCAAGTGCGATCAGCCTCATCTTCATCAATTAGGGTCTCCGCCGCCTCTCACTACTAGCTCCCCCTCGGCTGCGTGTGGGTCAGGAGAGACAGAGCTGTTCTCTAGACCGGCTACCGAGCCACTCTCCTCGCCACTACTTCTTCGCCTGGCTGCTGAAGAGGCGGATGTCTCCCCCCATTCCTGACCGCCCTCTGTTAGCTCTTCCTCACTGTACAGTGGGGCTGAGCCCACAGCATACGATACTTCGCTTGGTGAGGGAACACCAAAGGACAGGGGCAGGTCGAGGACACGTGATTTCAGTGGGCTTGCTCCCGGGCCATGCCAACTAAGGTTGTGTCTGACGTACCCTCCGACCGTTGGCTGTAGGTGTCAGAGGTTGACCTGGGAAGAGGAAGACGACGAGCCATACCAAAATCGATGGACGGCAGGGTTGTCGGTGGGGACACGACCGCTGGATGACACCGGGAGCAACTGGCCTCGCTGCGACTAGTGCTGCCTCGACCCCTTCCTCTGCTGCCACGTGTCTGCTCGCTCTAAAACATTTGCCTCCTCTGCCACTCCTATGCATGTTGTCTGACATACTCTTTAATTAATTAACGATTCTGTGTTCCCCTCAGTAACCAATTCTGTGTCTGGCCCTCAGTAACAGTTCTGTGTCTGGCCCTCAGTACTCTGTGTTGCGCCTCAGTAACAGTTCTGTGTCTGGCCCTCAGTAACAGTTCTGTGTCTGGCCCTCAGTAACAGTTCTGTGTCTGGCCCTCAGTAACAGTTCTGTGTCTGGCCCTCAGTAACAGTTCTGTGTCTGGCCCTCAGTAAACAGTTCTGGTCTGGGCCCTCAGTAACAGTTCTGTGTCTGGCCCTCAGTAACAGTTCTGTGTCTGGCCCTCAGTAACAGTTCTGTGTCTGGCCCTCAGTAACAGTTCTGTGTCTGGCCCTCAGTAAACAGTTCTGTGTCTGGCCTCAGTAAAAGTTGCTGTGTCTGGCCCCTCAGTAACAGTTTTCTGTGTCTGGCCCTCAGTAACAGTTCTGTGTTCTGGCCCTCAGTAACAGTTCTGTGTCTGGCCCCCTCAGTAACAGTTCTGTGTCTGGCCCTCAGTAACAGTTCTGTGTATGGCCTCAGTAACAGTTCTGT